AAATCTCTCTCATAAGTTTCAACATATATTGAACACCGGTATTGCAATTTCCTTTACAATACATACATATACGTGACTCCTAAGAATTGCCTATCTCATCAACCTTGTGCCGACGGTTGACTAACATTAACACTAATGTCTCTATGAGGAGAGAGAACAAATATAGACATCACAGTGCATATTGATAAGTTCAAATTGTAACAATAGTAGAGATGATATAACATAAGAACTTAGTGAAAATAATTTCAAAGTATTAAATATAGGAAGAAAATAACGAAAAAATAATTTTTGTTTGATAAAGAACTATGGATGACTAAGACATTGATGTCACACATCAATTGGAGATACAACTGAAGAGTGAACAGTAGGCTAGGTTATTTGTGAAGTTAACGATCACTCAGAAATGTTGTCTTTGTTCTGACCTTGGACTATCGATACTCCCGTGCTCAAATCCTTGAAAAAAAAAAAAGAATTCAATTGAGGTATTATTTTATGTGTATAATTGAGAAATAAAAATGAGATTTCGTTTAATATGAGGTACACATAAAATATCATCGAGTGTAAAGGTTGTGGTAAGTGAATTAAGCGTTGTGGAACCAGTATGAGTAATGAGAATTCCTTTACCGTCATCAATGATGATATCTTCATTTCCACTATAATTATTGTGAAAAGATAAGTTTTGAAGATCGAAGGTAATGTGATGAGAAACGTCAAAATCCACAATCCAATTTGGTTGGCTAGTAGTCGTAATAGTCATGAGATTCGCTTGAGGCTACCGGGGTGACACAGAGAGTCAAGGTTGAGACCGATAGACTTTTATGGAGTGTTTAACTTTATCACATAGTTGGCAAATGAGTATTTGTTGGCTTGTGAGGTCAGGATGCTAGGTTTGATGATAGTTGAAATTGCCACCTTGATAGTTGAAATATTAATGACATGGATGAGGGTGGGTATGTTGGAGACCCATAGGGTCAGGAGACAACTTAACTAGATCTTTGTTGGCATTCTTATTATATTGGTTGCTCTTTCTCTTATATTTTTGACTGACTTGAGCTGTGATTGTTGGTCCGGGTAATTTATCCTCGTGCTTTAAATATATCTCATAGTTAGTCAACTTGTCATAGAGTTCTTCGAATAATATTAGTGAGTTATGTGCCCGAATTACTGTTATCAGTTCCTTGTACTTGTCTCATAGACCATTTAGGGTATGAACTAAGACTTCTTCGTTACTAAGTGAATAACATATCAAAGTCAAGTCATTGATGATAACTTTAATATGTTATAGATAATTAGCAATAGTACTTTTCTCAGTAGTCATATATGAAGATAACAATGGGGCAATGGACTCAACGACAGAGGCTTGAATAGCTTGGAGTATGAGATGATCTTAGCGTAACCATAGTTTGTAGGCTGGATTTGGTATCGGGCTAGGGTCTCCTAAGATGTTGTTCATTGCTAGTAGACAATTGTGAGAGTCATCGATGTAGCTTAGTAAATCATAGCCAAATAAGAGATTAGAAAATTGTGTACGCCAAGATGCATAGTTGTTGCTTTTGAATAATCAGAAGGGAATGAGTGCTACTACATTGATAGTGATAAGTTTTGTATATTGAAAAATATTGTGATGTCCTATGGAAACAATAACTAGAGCATCAGAGGTAGACATTGAAGACATTTAGAGGATATATATTTGCAGGAGCACGAGAGTCATTAGTTGTAGACAAGAGAGTCAGAAGATATGGCTGCGACGAGATGCAACGGACTGTGCTTCTTCTTGGGCACAGTTACTATCGCGATCAGGGAGGAAGAAGGTGTCGGCGTAGATCAACGTCACATGAGGTCGAAGTAGGTCTCTCCTGAAGTTGTGACACCTTAATGTGCTTTGGTGTGGGTGGTCACTGCATGCGACAAGGTGGCTGCAGCAGGTGTCATCGTTGTCGGACGAGATATCTTCGTCTTTGCCCCTTTAGGAGATCTCAGATCCTTAGAGCCGAGATCTTTATCAAAGGAGCAGGTCTTGAAGGGGAGGCATGGAGAAACAGTTCTACTGACGAAGGAGGAAGTTGAAGGAAGTTTGTTGCTGCAGGTTTTGATGTTATTATTGAAGCCGCCACATAGGTCACGATCTCAAGAGGGTGTTTGGGCGAGCAGATCTATTCTGTTGAGTGTGTGACCCGGAGGAGTTGGTCTGTTCTGTTGGCGAATGAAGAAATGAAAGAAAGAAGTGAAGCCATCTATGTGTATCATGTTGCTGGTTGTAGTGAAGCCTTCTTGCGAGGGGATGAAGGTGCATCCTAGAGGGTGACTTTTACTGCGAGTAGTGTGATGGGATATAAAGAGAAATAACTTTTGTATATGAATAAATACTAGCAGGTCATAACACACAGTGGAATTAAATGGAACAACAATCAAATAGAACACCGATATATACATAGAAAACCCCTTCAATGTGAAGGGTAAAAATCACAGGACAAACTAGAGATAATCCACTGTAAAAATAATGAATATACAAATCTCAATCTCTTGCCCAAAACCTTGGCAACAATCACAAGAGAATAACTGAGATACAAGAATCACGTCACTATACTTAATATTTAAATCCTCCCTAATTCTCCCTAAGTAATCACAGTAAGAATCTACTGTAGATTTGATCTAACCTGAGATGAGAACACTGCTGAATGATTGAGAATGCGTTGTTCTTGTTTTCTTCCCATTCTTTCTCCTTGGATTTCTATCTTTTTCTTCTCATTTTTGCTAATGTAAGGATCTAGACTACTGCCCTCATTTTTGCCCTATTTATATCTCTTTCCATCTTTAAAACATAATCACACGTATCCCCTAATATAAATTAAGGTTAGATTATACGAGGAGATGGGCTGTGGGCTGTGGGCTGCCCATACTGAATCTATGAGCTGCCAGCCCAACACGGTGCTTGTGAAGAGTCTCCGCCGCAAGGCTGGTTAGGGAACCGCTACTACTCCACTGTAGTACGGAATGATCGCAGGAGGAGGAGAGGCAGCCACTTGGTGCAGAACAGGCGACGAGGAAAGATGTGGCAGTCAGTCCGGGGGGGTGGGGCGGGCGAGGCAGAGAAGGAGTTCGAGGACACCGCCCACCTGACTACTCGATCTCTTCCAAAGGGTGCTATGTAGGATGCGATAAAGCTACATTCGCCTCGGTGCAACTTCGCCAAAGGCCACGCTTGGGGCATTGTTGCAGTGCAGATAGGGCCCAAGAGGAATGTTCCACTGAGGGGAAGTGGAGAGGATCCTTTGACAGTGGAAGTGTTTGGCCGCAGTCCTGTAGTTTTTACCGCAGATCTGTAGTCCTTGCCACAGATTTGTGAGAGATCTGCAGTTCTTGCTATAGATCTGTCAGAGATATACATTTCTTGTCATAGATCTGTGAGAAATCTGCAGTTCTTGCAGTGAGGAGAGTATTGTGGCTGCGGCTTCAGGGAGTCAGTGAGGAGGGTTAGCACTAATTGCGTTAACCAGTTGACCCGCTATTACGGATACTGCTGGACGAGGCGGAGGAGTTCAGATACACCATCGTTGGGCTGCTCGAGTTCCCAAAAGAGAGAGAGGGAGAAGCAGTCGCCGAGCACCGTTTGGATTTGATCAGAAGATCGTTGCCAAGAGTATTTGCTGTTCGTCGAGTAGAAAAGACGATCTTCGTTTTCGGTGCAAGCACAAGCACGGGATCAGATCGAGAGCAAATCAGTCATCAAAAGCATCCACAACAATGTGAGGAGGTGGTGATGTTGCTGCTTCAACGACGACTATTGTTGTAAATCAACAAGGAAGCTGCATTGTCATTGCTGCAGCAACAATAATAGCAGTAGGTGAGATGAGGAAGTTGTGATGTATAGATCAGCTTAGCTCTCGATTGCACGGGAGTTGTTGACGGGCGTCTCGTTGACCAGGTTGGCGCGAGTGACGAAGATAAAAGGTCGTAGTGCAACGACGGGCGTGACCAGAGAGGTACAGGAACAGCCCGACGAGATGTGGCTAAGGAAGCTCTATTGAGGAAGAACAGAGAGCAGCCTGGATGATGTCGTAGTGAGGAGATGAAGATGTCACACAGGTTCTTTCTCGGGAGGTGGCAGAGCTCGGCGAGGAGCGATTACTGTCGTCGGCCAGCGAGAAGGGAGCTGAATTATAATGATAAAAGCACACATTCAATGATTGAAGAGAGGATTTTCCTCAATTGTCCAACGAGATTTTGCAGTTAAAAAATCTTATCTGCTATCACATATGAATCTCTCAAAGTGGGATGAGCAAAAAAAGAAAACCCATTCATCAAGCCTCCTTTTCTCAAAGTGCTGCGAAAGATTCTATGGCCTGCAGACTCTTTTGCTATGGATCGAGCAAAAGAATCGTAGTTAAATGTAAGATGGTCCCGTTGTCGACCCAACTGCAACGGCAGCGACCACAAGTCCTCGTAGGTGCAGCTGTACCTTTACACCGTTCCCATGGTGGCTTCTTCTCATCTCTTGAGTTAATGCAAGCATTGACAGACAACCACAAGCAATTGTGATGCACAACCCACCAGAACACCGGCACCACAAAAAGGCACACGACTACGCGGAACGCACATGCCCTAACGGATGTATTTTGCTCTCTACTGCGTTATTGAGTTGTCATCAACCTCGAGACAAAAGTCTGTGCTTGGCATGAGATAAGCACACCGACATGAACGGAACAAGATGACAAACAAGACCCCATCTCTGCGATCCTTCCCCCTCATGACTCCATGATCAGAAAGATGGCACCAAAACCGGGGAAAGATAAAAAGGAATGAAAAAGGATGAGAACCTCGTGGTAGCTGCAGCATTAAGTTGAATCGATCGCCTTTACTCTTCATGAGCTGGAACCTGATTGCCGTTCCAAAAGGCCACCTTCTTTTTGAACAAGAGCGGCTTCGAAGTAACACCAAAGGTCGATTTACCCCATCACAGCCGTGCGATTGGCGTCCAACGGTTGTGATCTCACGGTGAGTTGAGTTTAAAGCTACGGCAACTTTATTAAACTTTATCAAGTCAATTACCACCTTTTTCCCGTACAAAAAAGCACACGATAATTATTTGATTAAGAAACGTTTTGGCGGTTAATGAAAACTAATTGGTTCACACCGTTGGCTACGACCCGAGGCACGACTGCCGCCGGAACCCCAACCGCCCCTTCTCCAAGTCGTAGACCATGTAGTAGTCCTGCTGCTGGAAGTTGCCCAGTATGATCGCTGGCCCTCCGGCCACATCCGAGGAGGCGGCGCCATCGCCGTCGGAGACGATGGTGAGGCACACCGCGGCCCTGTCCGGCCCCGCGAACACGAAGTAATTCTCCAGCGGCAGCCGCATCTCGGCGCCGCCCTTGAAGCGGAAGGTTAGCTCCGGCAGGTCCACCTCCGTCGCATCCGGCGGCGGAGCGAAGCACGGGCGCAACCCTGTTCGGGCCTCCATGTCTGCGGACCGGTTGTACCGGTGCGCTACGCGGTCCACGAATGCGGCAAGCACAGGCTCGAACACCGGCGGGGCCATGTACGTGAACGTCGTGCCGGAGTCGACGATGGCGCCGCCGTCGCCGCTGGGGCTGGGGACGAGGGCGGAGCGGGGGACTCTGACCTTCTTTCCGCCGACGGCGATCTCGCGCAGCCCGATGTAATAGTACACGGAGAAGGGCGACCCTTCGTCGGCACCGGCCGCGGGATTGTTGAGGAAGGTCGTGAATCTAAGGCCGTCGGAGGAATCCTCCTTGGCGGGGTCGAGGACGACGGAGCCGCTCTCGGCGGCTTCGTCGTCGTAGCGCCGAGAAATTAGGCAGTAAGAGAAGCGCTTCAACCCGAGCTGGGAGGGGAGGGAGGGGGCGCCGCGGCCGAATCCGGCGACGCCAGCTGGCTGGCGTTCGGAAAAGACGGAGCAGCCGACGGTGACGTCGGGGACGGTGCGGCCGGGCAAGGCGAGTGTCTCCAGCATGAGGAGCCCAGCGGTGGAGCCAGAACCATAGATGATGGCATAAGGCGGGCAGGCGGTAGCCGGGCAGCCGTCGGCTGAGGTGGAGTTGCAGGCAGGACAACGGGAAAGGAGGAGGTCGGGTGAGTGGATCCACAGACAGCGGGGGTTGCGGCAGCCCACGAGGCGGGTGGAGGCAGAAGACTTGGGAAGGAAGGGGGTGATGGGAGCGGCGGAGGGGGAGGAGCAGCGACGGCACTGATAGGAGGAGGTGCAAGGGACCCAGGTGAGGTGGCTCCCGGTGTCGAGGAGGAGAGGAATTTGCTGCGGCGGGTTGCCGAAGGCGAGGGTGAGTGAGTAGCCGCCGTAGGAGTGGGGGAAGAGAGGGGAGCGAGAAGGACGCGGAGAGGCGTGGCGGTGGCGGTTCTTGAGGAGGGATGCGCGGAGGGCGGAGGCGGAAGCGAGTGAGGCGAGGCGGTGCAGGGGGTCGGGGTGGGACGGCAGGGGATGTCGGCTGAGTTGGAGGGTAACGGGAGCAGAGATGGCAGAGAATGGGAGGAGGAGGAGGAGGAGGAACGAAAGGGAGAGCAAGAGAAGGGGAGGAGACGAAGACATTGCGGTTGTGACGATGAAGGGGACAGAGAAGTGACAAAAAAATACTTTGCTTGGAGGCCTCGGATGGGCTATAAGAGGAGGGCCGAGGAGGAGGAGGAGGAGGGGGGAGGAGGGAGGAGGGAGGAGGGTGGAGGGAGAGAGGAGGAGAAGATGGCGCAGGGAAGGAAAGAAAAAGGAAAAGGACCAGGAAAGAACAGAAGGTGACGGTGGTGGGTCCACGGCGGCGGGTCACGACCGTTGGCTCGCTGGAAGCCCATGGAGATCACGCTGATAGGATTGGGGTCGTCGCCGTTCTGCTTCCTCCCGTTGGATCACGTGGACGTATCCGTCCATCAAGAGCAGTGCTACGAATCAGAACCGGATCCGCGTAACGTCAGTTGGTTTTCACATTCAAACAAATTCCATGCGACATGGAAAATGACGGAGTTGGAAGCTTCACCGAAGTTAGCCCAAACCGGCCACGAATTGGCTGTGAAATGTACACCTCCAATCGAACACTTGTGATTTTAATGTGTTGTTCTTCAGATTTTGGGACTCGTGGAAACGTGAATATAAATAATAGTAGAGGCAAAGTGCGAAGCTTCGACAGATTTGGAATGAGAGCGGCTCCTTAAAATTAAACATTAAATTAATATAATTAGAAATAAATAAATAAATAGCCTGAGTCTGATACAGATTTTCATATAGTCATTTTTGAATTCAAACAAGGAATAATTCATAGGCTTTCAAAATATTATCATTTTATAAATAAATGATGAGTTGAATTTTGACGTATCTAGTTTTATATCGATTGTTCGATTTAGATTCAAATATTATCGATCCTTATATAGGCCAATATTAATAGGAATCTCATTAGATACATTTCAATTTCGAGTAGTTTTAACATGTTAGTAATTAGACAATTATATATATATATATATATATATATATATATATATATATATATATATATATATATATATATATATCCTTTATTACATCAATATAATTATTAGAAACTTTATCATAAATCTTACCAAAATCAATAAAAACCACCACATAGGGATCTTTCTTCTTCTCTTTCTACTCATCTATGAAATGTCTTAATAAATAAATATCTTTTATGAAATGTCTTAATAAATAAATATCTTTGATCGTTGATCTTTAGAGATAAAACTAAATTAATTGTCAAGTTTTTTTTTTTTCACATCTTATTCAAATTTCAATCATTCTTTTCCAAGTTTCACCCATAATCTTAATTATTATATAATTTAAATAATTTTAGATTTCACTCTTATTTTTATACATTGGTAACATGGAAATATATGATTACCTTTAGATCTAAGTTATTTATGAAATATTTATTAAAAATTATAAAAAATAAATTTGTTTTTTCTTTTTTTATCAATTAAGTAATTTTGATATTCGCGCTTTTAATATACCTAAATATTTATTTACCTATATGATAAAACCCTTGTAGATTCTAAGCCTGAGGTTGATCTCTTTAGGGGATCAGCCTCCTTCGAACTAACTCTACAAGGGTTCCTTCCTCCAAATTACTGCTCAAAGGCTACAAAAAAAATTCATCTATTGTTTAAGAAAAGATGATGAATACTGTTAGGATCAAGAGCACTAAGAAGGGGGGGGGGGGGGGTGAATTAGTGCAGCGGAAAACTTTCGATGATTTAAAACGACGTTCATACTATAAAAACGATTTCGGTAAGAAAGCCGATTCAGAAATCACTTTAACTTGTGATCAAGCGAGATGCAATTAAAATAAAGATATAGAGACAGTTTGCAGTTAAGATAGAGAACAGAATGTAATTACAAACCGAAATACAACGTTCGTACGATAAAAGCGATTTCGGTATAAAAGCCGATTTGGAAGTTGCTTTAACTTAGATTAGGCGAAGTGTAGTTAAAGTAAAGCTATGGAGGTAGTTTGCAGTTAAGATAGAGAACAAAAAGTAAATGCAAACCGAGATTTAGAGTGGTTCGGTCAATCTTGACCTACATCCACTTTTGGCGTCCTCCTCCGATGAGGTCACCAACGTCCACTAGAGGCCTTCTTTCAATAGGCGAAGGCCAATCACCCTTTTATAGTTTCACTCATTTTGACGGGCTTAGGAGACAACTCTTACAAACTTTTCTCTCCTCTCTTGAAAGATCAAAACTTAGAAGAAAAGAGGGAGGAGAACTTCTAGCCTTTATAACACTTTTGAGCTCTAAAAATCACAAAGTAAGATTGGATTTTCGGTGCCCTTTCATGCAGGAAAGGGTGGGGTATATATAGGCCCCAAACTGGTTTGAATTTGGAGCTCAAAAATATCTTTTCCCGGATTTTCGAGGTCCTGGCCGTACTACCTCTTGATTGGGGCGGTACAATCGCTTGACAGAGCTCGGAGACCAAGCTCTGGCGGTACCACCACTTGACAAAGCTCGGAGACCAAGCACTGGCGGTGCCACTGCCTGACAGGGGTGGTTGCACCGCCTAGTCTCGCTCGGAGACTGAGCCCAAGCGGTGCCATCGCCTGACTAGGGCGGTTGCACCACCTAGTCTCGCTCGGAGACTGAGCCCAAGCGGTGCCACCGCTTGACCTGGGCGGTTGCACCGCCCAGCTTTCCTGGGAGACCATCTCCTGGGCGGTGCCACCGCCTAGCAGGAATTATGGTCCGAATGGGTTGATCCATTCAGCCCAATTTGGGTCTATCAAGGGCCTAATTGCCCACAGATTAAGTTAATGGGATCACCTCCCATTCCTAACTTAATATACATGCTAACTATGATATTTCTTAAGACATTTACTGCAACTTGCTCCGGTGCGTCAATCGCTTCTTCCGGCGAGCTTCTGACGAACATCCGACGAACCTTCGGCGATGCTCCGGTGGACTTCCGGTAAACTCCTGGACTTGCTAAGATCCACTTGGCGAGTTTTGATGAGCTTCTTCGACAATCTCTTGGACTTCTCAGATTTGTTCTCGTAGAACCTCCGACGACCATTCGGACTTCCATCGAACTCTCGAACCCCCAATGTGATCATAGTCTTGACTCCGGCGCAACTCCTGTTGTATATCTTACTTCCATCGTAGTTAATCCTGCACATGTAAAATAAAACTTCGATCGAGACAATTAATCCTAAGCAATTAACCAAGTTGTCCGGCATGTCATTGGTCCATCGACGCTTCGTCCGATTCTTTGGCGCATCGTCCTCTCCTGCGGTCTATTGCCCAATCGGTCAGTTGACTATGCAACTCCGATATCCTTGGCACAATACCCGCTTTTCTTGGCCCGATGCCCGAGTCCACGGCCCGAAGCCTTCTGTCAATATGTCGATCGATCCATCGGCCCGACATCCAATCTTCTGACATGTTCCTTTGACCCAACATAATTTTTCCTACTTTAATTGTCTCATCCTGATCGAAGCATCTTGCGTCACTCAAAATATAAATTAAATCATAAACATATATCAAGTAGTTTCATCATCAAAATACGAGATTCAACAAATACATGACTATTTATAGGACTTCTAAACCCTAACTCTTAATAGGACTCATACTCAAGACTCCTATTCCTTTACAACTCCTAATTCTTCTTTAAGAATAACTTCTAATATGACTCATACTCACGACTCATATTCTTTTACAACTCCTAATTTATCTAAAAAATAACCTCCTATCCCTAACCGACCTCCTCACCTCTTTAATAGGGGTCGACTAGGTAGATTAACATGAATGCCCATTTCAATTAGAATTCTCCTAGAGTCCCAACACTTTCCGATAATGTCCAAACCTATCAAGATCAATTAAACAGGTTCCGAGTACCCCAATTTATGGTACGAGCATTTTTCAATAAATGTGCAATCAACTCCAATCCAACTGTGACCAACAGGGATTGGCATCTCAGTTCGCTGTAGGTAGCTCTTTTATCATCAACATAACTCCTGCTGCAGTTCAAGAAAATGAAAATATAAAAGAAGTGACTTTATGTGTTAGCTTTGTGAGAGGGCAAACATGTGGCTTATTGGCTTCAAACAGACATGCGATGCCACTTCCAACGTGAAGAGAAGAACCGGATTCGTCAAGCAAGCAAGCACATTAACTAGCTTTCTTTTCCTTTTCCTTTACCCTTTATGAAGTGCCATCGCTTTTGATGAGAACAGGATGCACGGTGAGCACGAGAGTCGTCTTTGGGAATGGTAGAGCATTCATTTGTCCGACGATGAGTCCTTCCTCCACCTTGTCGGCGTGAAAGAGCGAGGTGGAGGAAAGAGCTGCGCATGATGGTGATGGATGTTTTTGGACCATTGGATACAACCAAATGGATGTTAAACTTTAGGTGTAATATCTTATGTTAGTCTCCACGTTAATAAAAATTAAAAATTTAATTATGTATAAATATTAATTTGAAAACTTAAATATTTTGAGGGTCTCGATTTAAACTACCTATCTAAGAGGCATCAGATATATGACACATACAAGTAGATGTTTAGTGGAGATATCTTAACACCTTTCTAAATATTTGAATAAAATTAAGGTACGTTAAGTTTAATTGATCCTATAGGAGGCTCACTTATGTGTGAAATATTGAAGTTGACATATTCTAGTGCCTTCGGGTGTTTTCTACTTTTGACATTCTTTATTTGAGTAGTTTAAGCTAATATTCTTATACATATCCTATTTCTATTGCCTTTTATGTAAGTGTTTAAAGTCAACATGCCCTAATTTCCTAATACATCTTATGCATTTGACATCTTTTATGTGAGTGTTTCAAGTCGGCATACATTAATATCTCTTGTGTGTCTTGTATTCAATATATCTTATTTGGGAGATTCAAATCAGCACACTTGACATATGTCACTCTCTACTTGGGTAATTTAAGTTGAGGCATCTTGATTCCCTCACACCTCTCTTGTGTGAGGGAATCAAGTCAACATGTTTGATGCCTTTGCACTTCTATGTCTATTGCTCCTGATGCAAGTGATTCAAGTCTACATGTCATAACACCCCATGCATGTCTCTTGAATTTAACGTCACCCTCATTTCATCTTTGTGCATCTGATAACCTCTTATATAAGCAGTTCAAATCAATATGCCATGACGCTCTAGCATGTTTCAATTGTTTGACACATTTATTAGGCTATACAAGTCTATAAG